AGCTCGGTTTTCTCCCTGCTTCTAGTTCCCAAATTTCTTGTTTCTTAATGTATTTTTTGTCATTTCCCAGTTTGAAGTGTTAGGTTTGGTTTTCTTGTTTTTCATGTTTGAATTTTGCTTCAGCAAATAAAAGCTGCCTCCTTTAGCTATCTCTTTGTGTTGAAGTCCTGCCTTTGGGTCCAAACTCTGCATGCCACACAACAAACCCAAGACAATGTGTGTCTGACAGAATGATCATATTATTTAATAAATTCAATAAGCACCACAAATACACATTCTAATTTCTTACGATTAGAATTGGTGCTGGGGTCATCATCACCAATAACCTGAAAGGGTTAATGTATTTAAATTTATAGTTAAGGACTCAAACCGCTGTAATTTTCTAATAAAACAACCATTTCTCACTTCACTGCTTCTTCACATTATAACCAACAATGTGCTGAATGTCAGCATCGTTCCATTCTGGAGCATTACAGTATATTCTCATGTAGTAGCTGCCAAACAGTGCGTTTGGTCACTAACAGGGCTCAAGAGAAAAGTATATGAAAGCAGAAGTGATGGCACTTGTGTAAAAAGAAACATTACTCAGACCTTTCACATGACACGATGCTTTGAAGCAGTTATTTGTATATGCATGTGTTGAAATTTTTACCCGTTGTTGTGCCTTGAGCACAAAATTGTTCAAAACTACTACCAATTCATTTTTCCTCTGGATCAGGGAGCATGAAAAATTAATGTTCTCATTTATAAGCAAGTAACTTAAAATGAAACCAACCACTCTGACCTCTCAAAAGAAAATTCTGTTTTGTTGCTTCTCTTAGGAAGCGATGCTTCTCCATTTTTTAAGTTTCCTTCTTACATGGAATACTCACATGCTCGACTCAAAGTGGCTCGCTTCCTGTTTCTGTGTGTGCTGATAGTGCAGCTGTAGTCCAGATCTTTAACTCTCTCTGACACCATCAGAGAACTATTGATGTTGTAAAGAAGCTGTTGAGTCTCCTGGGCTGTGGTTTTATACTGGAGGGACATGTTGGATGGAGGGCTGGTGGTCCAGGTGAGATTAGGTTTAGGGTAGAGTCCCTCTGAGCTGCAGGTCATCTGGTTTCCAGTTTGCTGAATGTTGACTTTTTGGACTGGAGCTGCAAAAAAATATTTA